GTCCCCCGCGTGCCATCCCCACGGCCCAGGTGTCCCCACGGCCGCCCCCGGCGTGGTGACAGTGCCACCGTGCCCGTGGCGCACCGCGGTGACCTCACCGAGGACCCGTGGTGTCCCCAAGGCGGATTTCCCCACCACGGTGGGGCTGCTGTCCCCGGACGAGGTGTCCCTGGAGCTGGACGGGGACAAGGACAAGAAGGGCGGCAAGGTTTATTACATCGACACCAACGCCCTGCACGTGGCCCGCGAGGGCGTGGAGGTCCTGTCGCCGCTCAAGAACGGCATGAGTGAGTGGGGGACACGGGGGGACACAGCAGGGGGACATCTGGGGACAAGGAGGAAGAGCAGGGACGTTGGGGGACACAGAGAGATACAGAAGGACGTTGGGTATGTGGTGGGACAGCGGAGACAGCGTGGGAACAGCCCAGGGACATCACTGGGACACCTGCGGGGAAAGGGGACAGGGGTGGGGACACCCCCAGGGCCACAGGGGGACCCCGAAGGGCCATCTCAGGGGCCACGTGATGTCACCCGGCCTCGTTTGTCCCAGTCGAGGACTGGGAGTGTTTTCAGGCCATCCTGGACCACACCTACGGCAAACACGTCAAGTCGGAGCCGGGGCTGCACCCGGTGCTGATGTCCGAGGCGCCGGTAGGTGCCAGCCCTGGGGCGGGCGGGGGCTGGGTGTCCCCGCGGTGTCCCCAACGTGTCCTGCGCCGCAGTGGAACACCAGGGCCAAGCGGGAGAAGCTGACGGAGCTGATGTTCGAGCACTACAACATCCCGGCCTTCTTCCTCTGCAAGACGGCCGTGCTCACCGCGTATCCCCGGCGTCACCCCCGCGGTCCCCTCCCCGTGTCGCTCCCTGGGACCCCCCCCGCGGTGTCCCTGTGGTCACTGTCCCCCGTGCCACCCCCAGTGTCACCGGAGTGCCCCCAGCCCCTCCCTGCGGCGTGTCCTGTTGGGTGTGGCCGGGGGGGTTTTGGGCGAGTGGTCAGCGGTGTCCCCTCCCCGTTGTGACCCTTGACTGGCGCAGCTTTGCCAACGGCCGCAGCACGGGGCTGGTGCTGGACTCGGGGGCCACCCACACCACGGCCATCCCCGTGCACGACGGGTACATCCTGCAGCAAGGTGAGAACGCACCTGGGACAGGTGAGAACACACCTGGGACACGCCTGGGGTGGGGGATGGTCATCTGGGACACACACGGGACACACCCAGGACAGTCCCAGGACACACCCAGGACACACCCAGGACAGACCTGGGACATACCTGGGACACACCCAGGACACACCTGGGACACACCCAGGACAGTCCCGGGACACACCCAGGACACACCCAGGACACACCTGGGACATACCCGGGACACACCCAGGACAGACCCGGGACACACCCAGGATACACCCGTGACACACCCAGGACACTCCCGGGACACACCCAGGACACACCCAGGAAACACCTGGGACACACCCAGGACACACCCCAAACACACCCAGGACACACCCAGGACACACCTGGGACATACCCGGGACACACCCAGGACACACCCCAAACACACCCAGGACAGACCCGGGACACACCCGGGACACACCCAGGACACACCCGGGACAGGTGAGGGCTGACCTGGAAGAGCGCAAGGGCCACCCTCAACAGCCAGGTCAGCGCACACCTGTCCCAGCTGAGGGGTGGGCGGAGCCTCACCTGGGCCCCGCCCCGCAGGCATCGTGAAGTCGCCCCTGGCCGGGGATTTCATCTCCATGCAGTGCCGGGAGCTGTTCCAGGAGCTCAACATCGACATCGTGCCCCCCTACATGATTGCTGCCAAGGTGGGTGTGGCCAGGGGTGGGATTTATCCCTTAACCCCACCCACTTTGGGGTGGGCTCATTCTTTAGCTCCACCCCCTTTTGGACAGCCAAATCTTATTCACCCTGTACATTAGCTCCACCCATTTTAGACCACGCCTATTTTGTGCGGTGCTATTATTTGGCTCCACCCTTTCATTAACGTCACCCTTGGACCCCTCCCGCTGCCCCAGCCTGGGGGATGCTCCAGCACTTTCCTTTAACCACGCCTCTTTCGCATCATTAATCACAAGCCACGCCCCTTTGGGGCTGACCACGCCCCCGGGACCCCCCCTTTCCCAGGAGCCGGTGAGGGAAGGGGCCCCCCCCAGCTGGAAGAAGAAGGAGAAGCTGCCCCAGGTGTCCAAGTCCTGGCACAACTTCACCTGCAATGTGAGTAGGGGGGGTTTGGGGAGCCCCTGAGGGGGGATTCGGGGTCCTGACCCCCTTTTTTGGGCTCCTTTTCCCCCAGGAGGTGATCCAGGACTTCCAGGCCTCCGTGCTGCAGGTCTCGGACTCTCCCTATGACGAGCAGTGAGTGCTGGGACTCCGGGGTGGTTTGGGGAGGAATTTTGGGGCAGGGAAGACCCCAAAATCCACTGTTTTCCCCCCAGGGTGGCAGCGCAGATGCCGACGGTTCACTATGAGATGCCCAACGGGTACAACACTGACTACGGGGCCGAGCGGCTCCGCATCCCTGAGGGGCTCTTTGACCCCTCCAACGTCAAGGTTTGAGGGTCTTAGGGGGATCTCTGAGTGGGCTCAGGGGTTTTGGGGTCCTGGGGGCTTTAGTGGACCCCCATGCCCCAAGTTCTGTTCTTTTACTCTTCCAAACTCAAGTCTTCAGGGTCCCCAGCAGGGTTTTTGGGGTCATGGGGTGGGTCTGGGGATTCCCAGGGGGTACAGGGTTCAGGGGGTGTTTTTGGGACCCCCTGATGCCCCCTTTCCTCAGGGTCTCTCGGGGAACACCATGCTGGGCGTGGGACACGTGGTCACCACCAGCATCGGGATGTGTGACATCGACATCCGGCCGGTGCGTCCCGGGGCTGTGGGCTCCGGGGGGGTGTGGGGAGCGGCAGAGATATCCCAAATCCTGCCGGTCCCCTCCCCGTGTCCCCCCCAGGGTCTCTACGGCAGCGTCATTGTCACTGGCGGGAACACGCTGCTGCAGGGCTTCACCGACCGCCTGAACCGGGAGCTGGCCCAGAAAACTCCCCCTGTGAGGAACCCCCGAGATCGGGACGGGGGGGTTGGGAGGGGCTGAA